GTGCACGAAGAAAGGGATGTTTGATCAACGGAGAAAAAAATCTAGGAGGCGCCAAGTTTAAAATGTCTAATCTTTTCCTCTGAAACGCCTTCAAAGAACATCAAACGCCCTGTTAAGGAATACAAGGCGCCAAATTCGAAATAATTTGGCCGGCAATGTGTCAACACTGTGAAAGTTGGAGTATGGTTGAAGATGGTAATCATCTACTGCTGATTGGCACGTGTTGGAGTGGTACTGCTCTAGCAGATGTGGCAGCAAAACAGCAAGTAGACATTTGTATTGTATTTCATTTCTCAGATTCATCTCTGTGTCCCACTTTGTAACTCATCACACTTATGTAGAACGTTTTAGAAATTACGAAAGATTTTTTTCAAATTTTTAAATGGTTGATTTTGGGGGGGAAATTAAAAAAATAAGAATAAAATAGGTCAAAAATGAATTTAAAAATTAATCAGTACAATATATACATCAAATGAAAGACATCTTTTGTTCTTTAAAGTCGCAAAATATTAAATTTGTTACAATTACAACATGAGTCAACAATGATTAATTTTAGTGATGTGAGCATTCTATCAAAAAAATTATATTAATATAATCCTGAAAAACAATATTTGGGAAAAAATTAAAAACACGTGTTTCATATTTTTGCTTAAAGTCTTCTCAAAAATCTGGGACAAGGTAATTTTTTTCTTAAATTTGTGCAACTTGACGTGGAATGACCCCATTGCCTTCAGGCCAGGATACTACCAGCAAGCTTGTGGCAGAGATACCTTTGTTCAATTGAAAGAACAATATAAATTGGCCAGAAACCAGTTGAAGACCGCAATCTAGGAAAGTAAACATCTTTGTGATAAAATTCTGTGCGATGAATTAGATAAAGATGTATGAGGTAGACGGTCATGGGTCGCATACCCAGTCTGCAACATGCCTTAACATTCTTCAGAGAATTGTGGCAATTTATTCCCACACCAGCCCATCGAACTGACAAGCATCATGCCATTTGATACAAAAATGATACCACCAGTCACTATGGATGAGCAAGTAATCAGCAGAATTAGTAATACCAAGGCTCCAGGGCCTGATAGTATCCCCAATGTCACCCTCAAGACTATGATATCCACTCATAGTGACGTATTCGTGGACCTCTACGTGTCATGTCTGTGGGAAGGGATATTTCTTGAGAGATGGAAGAAACAATTAGTACTTGTTCTAAAGGGGAAAAAAACCTTCCTGAAGAGTCAGCGTCTTACCGACCGCTGTGCATGCTCGATACTGCGGGTAATGTATTCTAGTATATAATTAGCGGAAGATTGGAAGATGCAGTAGATAAAGGAGGTGGACTCTCAGAGAACCAGTATGGATTTTGCAAAACTCGTTCAATCGATTCTAATAAGCTTGTCGTTGATACTGCCCGACAAGCCATTGGAGGGAGCAGCTGAAGAAGAGGTCCAAAAATGTTTTGTGCTGAAATAATATTGGACATTAAGAATGCTTTTAACTCGGCAAAATGGATTGACATTCATAAGGCACTCCATCAAATCAATGTACCTACATACCTGAAAACAATAGTGGCTGAATATCTGAATCGACGAATACTTGTGTACAATATAGGCGATGGACCGAAGGTACACATCGCCGCCGGCGTCCCACAAGGTTCGATGCAGGGCCCACTGCTGTGGAATATCATATATGATGGAGTTTTGAGGCTTCCACTCCCAGAAGGAACCAAGATCATAGACTTCGCAAACATTGCCATTGTCATCGCTGCAAAATTTATAGAAAAAATAGTGTGTGGAAATGTCATCGTCATCGTCAGTCGTTGGCTGGATTCCGCATGTTTGCAGCTTGCCGAACATAGAAGTGCAACTTGTAATCCACAGAAAGGAGAATCCATCACTATCAAAGTTGGTCATTACAAAATTTCATCACGACCTGCGATACATTACCTCGGCATCATGATTGACACACGCTTATCGTTTAGACCACGTGGACTATGTCAGAAAAAAACGGCAGTGGTGAATGCTGCGTTGACAAGGTCAATACCGAAAACTGGAGGGCCTAGTCATGGAAAGAGAAAGCTCCTTGCCTCAGTTGTCACATTGGTTCTGTTCTACGGTTCACCAGATTGGGCCAACTTAACAGATACGAAGATCTATGTAAGACGCATGGCTTCAATTTATCGTTTATCTGTGCTCAGGGTTACATGTGCGTTCTGCACTGCCTTTAATGATGCAGTTCGTGCCATAGTCGGGATGCTCTCAATTGATATAATGGCCCGTGAATGTCAGAAGCGTTGCAACAAAAGAAACGGGAAGCTGAACTGCTCGGAACAATTAGCAGAATGGCAACAGGGATGAGACACGTCCTCCAAGGGAAGATGGACATACCAAGCGATTCCTATGGTTGAATCGTGGATCAGTCGAAAGCACGGCGGGGAAAATCATTACCTCACGCAGCTTCTAACGGGGTGTGGTTGCTTCAGCGCCTACCTTCACAGTTTCAAACTGTATGATTCTCCACAGTGACCTGTGTGTGAACCTGATGTTGAAGACTCCGAACGTGTTTTTTCAGTGCTCACGTTTCGCACCTCAACAAGTCTCTACGGAGGTACTTGGTATAGACCAGAAAACGTGGTTGCAAGAATGCTTGTTTCTGAAAGCAATTGGAGGTTGGTGTATAAATTTGCACAAGACGTATTGCTGGAATGGAGATGCATGGAGGAAGGAAGGAAGGAGTGGTATCTCTGATCCCTCACTTAACAGGCTTCATATTCCACTCTTGGTGATATAATGCCTGTAGGCAGTTACGTGGAGAGGATGAAGAAGAGGCTTCGGTTTTAGTGAGTTATCTCACACACTGGGTAGTATGGACTACTCAGTGTCTTTTGAAGATTTCCACTAACCCCTCCCCTAAAAGCAACCCAACCCACACACAGAGCATATGCAACTTTTTTGTAATGTTGCTTAATTGCAATGGTACAAATCTGAAAACATGTACTTATGCATTAAAGCTTCACATTAAACAATAATTGCATAAAAAACTACTTTCAGGGTCATTCTTTGCCCTCTCATCCAGGCAGCAATATACTTGTCAACGTTGCTTACTCAGGCATTTATAGAGGTGGACACCTCTTGCAGTGGATATATTTTTTAGCTACATTTTCATCCCCTACTGAACTATTTCTTGGTACAATGTGGAATTAAAAAAAACAAAACACGTGAAATGATAAATGAATTGACACTCTTTTAGCATCAATACTGAAATAAATTGGAGCAAGCAAGTTTTATATATTTACAATGAAAATATCAAATCAAATATACAGTGAAATATTACAAGTTGACATTTACAGACTTACATACATTCATACATACAGTCAAGTGTGGTTGCAACTGAATGTATCACAATATGGACAATTACATCTCTCTTGAGGCAATTATCTACAGGTCAGTCATGATATTGAGGGCAGATCTCACTCGTTCTGCTGGCTCCATTATGGGATAAATAAAACCACTTTGGCACCAGTAGTTCGGAGGCAAAAAAAGAATTACAAAACAGAATCTCTTACTTAATGCATTTTACAATCTCGATATGCCTCACTGCTCAATGCAGCTGTGGAAATAATTTTCACTTGCAGGAAACCAAACACGTACAGCAACACCCACATTACGTTAGGTAGCTAAAATCTGACAAAGTTCCATGTACCAACAATCTGACACACTGTCAAACCACCAAGTTCACAAAACTTCATAGAAAAAAGAATCCTGCACAGATGTGTATTAAGATTAATCCGTCAACACACCATCACTTTGTACCATAGTCTCACAATAGTAGCTTGTTCACACTTTACTTAAACTCAGGCCTCTTTATCAATGGAAGTAATACATTCATCTGATTCTGGGTAGCTGTGTAGAAAAAACCTAATCACATGCTCCACTACACGATTGAACATATTTTTTTTAAAAAGAAATAAGCATACATTTGTATCTAGATGTAACAAGCACTACATGGTATAAAATAGCACTCGATAATAATTGAGAAGACTTGCACCCTTGCCCCAAAAGGGTGCCTTGTGTTTTCTCTCAAGTCTACACAATCATGTGGCTGGCATCTGCTGGCTGAGCTTGAGATGGTTCTGTATTCACTGACAATTGGCCTTCATGAGGTGATCCGTAATGAGATGAAGCCTCTGATGATGCATCAGCAGCACTAGTAGCAGTGTCAGGTCTTGTGACACGGCCCCAGCCGGTACTCTCTTCAGATGATAAAGAAGACTGCGAAGCTGAAGCAGCACGGCTTGCACGGACAAAAGGATTGACCTATACAATACAGAGCATTCAACAATTACAAAATGTTTGTTAAACAAACATACATTTGTTGTTTTATGTATTGAGCTTCTCTTGTCAATATGTCTGTTAGTAGTATACAGGCTTGTGAATATTCCTTTAACTTGAACTTTTATTTATCCTTCACTCAAATCAACATTGTTTATGCACATTGGTCTTATTCAAGACATTTGCAACCTAATTCTAATTATCCTTTTAACAAACAGATTTATGAAAGTAAATCCTTTGTTTGGTATACCACGCCACCCACAGAGTTAGCGCAAAGTATTGCTGAACACTGGCTAGCAGCTCTTGACAGGAACTATGCAAATCAAACGAACGTTTCTAATAAATAAATAAAATTTCGATGGATCATTTCTCCAAAATGTTTGCCCGCAGATAACTTCTGTGCCATTCCACAATACCCCACCATCAGAGAGAAATGATGACTATAAATAATTCTGAAATAAAATGACATCAACATGCAAAGGCAGATCCACTGGGGAGTGGGGGTAGGGATGAGAGGCATAGGGGCAAAATTTAAATTGCAAAGAAAGAAACAAGATGTTTATCAAATTTAAAGGAGATGTGTAAAATAGTAAATAATTACGTCACACAGGCTGTAGATGGGTACCTACATAAGATGTCCTTAAACAGCAATCGAGATCAAATTTAAAGGAGATGTGTACAATAGTAAATAAATTATGCCACAATGGCTGGAGACAGGTACCTACATAAGTCCGTCCTTAAACAGCAGTTGAGATCCTTCTTTCCACACCCATTCCTCTTCACCCTCTCTGTCCCTGTAGCCAGGCAGACTGGCGGATTGTTTTCTCTTTAAACTTTTTGCCTTTGAGCCTTGTTGGCTGGATAAGTTAACAATGGCAACATTAGTCAAATCGCCATCCCGCACAGGTCATATTAGTCAGAAAATCCTTAGAAATTCATCTTGTTAATAGAAGAGTAACTTTTTAATACACCCACATTGAGGAACGCAGATACGATCTTTCACTTAAGCGTATATGTTTTGATGAGGTGCAAAATAACTGTGGTCTTTGGCAACAAACTTCGTGCCAGTTGGGAGTTTTTGAGAGGAGAGAGATAAGCGAGACAGGATAGAGAGAGGAGCGACAGGAGAGAAAGAGATGAGAAGAAAGAAGTGAGAGGAGAGGGAAGAGAGAGGAGGGGGGAGGGAGAGGAGGGGGGGAAGAGAGTGTGTGTATTATAAATAGCTGTAAGAAAGATTTTTTTAAATATTGATTTGCTTCAAGAAATGAAGACCTTTTTAACATGCTTTTCTTGGTAATACATCAAGACTTCAAGATAAGGATTAAACACACACCCACACACACAAACACACGCACACCCAGAGAGAGAGAGAGAGGAGAGGGAGAGGAGAGGAGAGGAGAGGAGAGG